GGAGCCTGTCCACATCCCCAACCATCTGGCTGACGGAGTCTATGGCCTTGGGACCCAGCAAGGGAGCTAGACACCGGGGCTTTTCCGCAGGGTCCCCTTGGTTCAAATCGCCAGCCTGCTCAAAGGCAGTGAGGTGGGCATCCACACACCCCCCTCCTTAACCAGGGGCAGCAATTTAGTCTCGAGGTTCCCTGTGGAACTGGCCCCCCGGGATCTATCCCCACTCACCCCGGGGAGGTCCCCTAGGCCTCTCTGCCCCACCACCGCCAGTTCATGCTGCTGCTGCTTCTGCAGCTCTTTCTCGGGCTTTCGCTGTCTCCCACGGTCCTCTTGCTCTCTCAGACTCAGCTCCAATCCCGTCCATCTCCGATCCCTAGATGGGGAACCCGATCGTGAAGACCCCCGTCTGGTCGGGGACAGGAGTCTTGGCGATGCCTGGCTCCCGCTCCAGCTGCTCCCAGATCCTGCTATAGCCCCAGTTGGGGTCAGGAGTCTGTTCCTTAGAGCGGTCATCCTCCTCCAGCTGCACGATTAACTCTGCTTTGGTGAACTTTCCAATGCTCAACCCTCTCTTTTTGCACAGGGTTACAATGTCCTTCTTAAGGAGACGGTGACAGGCCATCACTCCGCTCCTCCCAAGTTGTTGTGGACTCACAGGCCCGTGTGTTCTCAGCTCCCCACGGTTTCCAGGGAGAACCCCTAGTGTGCCAGCCCTTCTCGAGGTCACCACCTCTTTGCCAGGGTCGAGCTGCAGACTCCTCCGCCCCTGAGACTGCTCACTGCAGTCCCCAGGGGGACCCCATTACTGCACAGTCCTTCTCGCTGGTCACACACTCCCAGGGGTTAACCGCCCCCGAAACCGCTCCTTTCTGAGCCTTCAGCAGGCCTGGTCCTCGGCAATCCCCCTTCGTGTTACTGCTCCCCAGTCACTTACTGCAGGAAGCGCCATCCACGGGGTGCAGTACATCCCACCGCTGCCACCAGTTGTCACGGAGTCCCTGGGCGATGCTCTGGAACTGCTCCCCATGAAGCCAGTCAGGACTCTGGGGTAGTCGCCTTTCTGTGAGCAGCCTGTCTTCAGGACACACAGCTCACACAGCTTCCACCTTCCTGGGTCTGACCTTGGAGCATTCAGCATCCTCTGCCCCTCCGTGCGCTTCCCCCCAGCGAGTCCGCTCAGGCGGGGCTCCTAGGGAAGCCAGAGGGTCCTGCACCCCAACTTCGCAGTCAGACGTGACTCTCAGCCAGCCAGTAAAACAGAAGGTTTATTAGACGACAGGAACATGGTCTAAAACAGAGCTTGCAGGTGCAGAGAACGGGACCCCTCAGCTGGGTCCATTTTGGGGGGCAGTGAGCCAGACAACCACGTCTGCACTTCACTCCATGTCCCAGCCAGCCCCAAACTGAAAACCCCCTCCAGCCCCTCCTCCTCTGGGCTTTGTTCCTTTCCCGGGCCAGGAGGTCACCTGATTCCTTTGTTCTCCAACCCTTCAGCTCTCACCTTGCAGGGGGGGAAGGGCCCAGGCCATCAGTTGCCAGGAAACAGGGTGTCGGCCATTCTCTGTGTCCAGACTCCTGCACACACCTGCCCTCTAGGGCTCTGCAATGATCATACACCCTTACTCCACCCCCTAGATACTTAAGAACTGCCCAGGGGAAACTGAGGCACCCCCACACTATTCAGAGGAAACATTAAGAACAGTCCCACTTCGTCACAGCCTGTGCTTGTTATTCATCACAGAATAGGATTTCCCCTCTTGCCAGCCACTGTCTTCATATACTAGGATTTTTGAACCCCACTCAAGGCAACCATCTCCCTCAATATATACACAATGAATGGGACCCCCATGGTCCAAATCAACCCTCTGCCTTTGTGAATACAATGATCAGAGTTTCATATAATGAAATCTGGATGCCTGCCATGTGGGACTCGGGGGGAGGTTCTTGGGGAAACACACCACAATGTAGTGAGACCAGGGATGAGTATAAAAATATTGCTTGGGCATGTAGGAATGAAATCAGGAAGGCTAAATCACACCTGGAGTTGCAGCTAGCGAGAGATGTTAAGAGTAACAAGAAGGGTTTCTTCAGGTATGTGGGCAACAAGAAGAAAGCCAAGGAAAGTGTGGGCCCCTTACTGAATGAGGGAGGCAACCTAGTGACAGAGGATGTGGAAAAAGCTAATGTACTCAATGCTTTTTTTGCCTCTGTCTTCACGAACAAGGTCAGCTCTCAGACTACTGCCCTGGGCAGCACAGCATGGGGAGGAGGTGGCCAGCCCTCTGTGAAGAAAGAAGTGGTTCGGGACTATTTAGAAAAGCTGGACGTGCACAAGTCCATGGGGCCAGATGTGTTGCATCCGAGAGTGCTAAAGGAATTGGCGGCTGTGATTGCAGAGCCAGTGGCCATTATCTTTGAAAACTCATGGCCAACGGGGGAAGTCCCAGAAGACTGGAAAAAGGCTAATGTAGTGCCAATCTTTAAAAAAGGGAACAAGGAGGATCCTGGGAACTAAAGGCCAGTCAGCCTCATCTCAGTCCCCGGAAAAATCATGGAGCATGTCCTCAAGGAATCAATTCTGAAGCACTTAGACGAGAGGAAAGTGATCAGGAACAGTCAGCATGGATTCACCAAGGGAAAGTCATGCCTGACTAATCTAATTGCCTTCTATGATGAGATAACTGGTTCTGTGGATGAAGGGAAAGCAGTGGACGTGTTATTCCTTGACTTTAGCAAAGCTTTTGACACGGTCTCCCATGGTATTCTTGTCAGCAAGTTAAAGAAGTATGGGCTGGATGGATGCACTACAAGCTGGGTAGAAAGTTGGCTAGATTGTCAGGCTCAATGGGTAGTGATCAATGGCTCCATGTCTAGTTGGCAGCCGGTATCTAGCGGAGTGCCCCAAGGGTCGGTCCTGGGGCCGGTTTTCTTCAATATCTTCATTAATGATCTGGAGGATGGTGTGGATTGCACTCTCAGCAAGTTTGCGGATGACACTAAACTGGGAGGAGTGGTAGATAAGCTGGAGGGTAGGGATAGGATACAGAGGGACCTAGACAAATTGGAGGATTGGGCCAAAAGAAATCTGATGAGGTTCAACAAGGACAAGTGCAGAGTCCTGCACTTAGGACGGAAGAATCCCACACACCGCTACAGACTAGGGACCGAATGGCTAGGCAGCAGTTCTGCAGAGAAGGACCTGGGGGTGACAGTGGATGAGAAGCTGGATATGAGTCAACAGTGTGCCCTTGTTGCCAAGAAGGCCAATGGCATTTTGGGATGTATAAGTAGGGGCATTGCCAGCAGATCGAGGGACATGATCGTTCCCTCTATTCGACATTGGTGAGGCCTCATCTGGAGTACTGTGTCCAGTTTTGGGCCCCACACTACAAGAAGGATGTGGAGAAACTGGAGAGAGTCCAGCGAAGGCCAACAAAAATGATTAGGGGTCTGGAACACATGACTTATGAGGAGAGGCTGAGGGAACTGGGATTGTTTAGGCTACGGAAGAGAAGAATGAGGGGGGATATGATAGCTGCTTTTAACTACCTGAAAGGTGGATCCAAAGAGGATGGATCTAGACTATTCTCAGTGATAGCAGATGACAGGACAAGGAGTAATGGTCTGAAGTTGCAGTGGGGGAGATTTAGGTTGGATATTAGGAAAAAGCTTTTTCACTAGGAGGGTTGTGAAACACTGGAATGCGTTACCTAGGGAGGTGGTGGAATCCCCTTCCTTAGAAGTTTTTAAGATCAGGCTTGACAAAGCCCTGGCTGGGATGATTTAGTTGGGGATAGGTCCTGCTCTGGGCAGGGGGTTGGACTAGATGACCTCCAGAGGTCCCTTCCAACTCTGATTTTCTATGATTCTATGAGACCTTCTCTTGGGCATCATGGAGGTAAACAGAGGAGGGTTTATTGAGAGGTGGGCACCTACTCCTTGCTCTCTTTCTCTGACATGCAGTAGATTTGACTCTGAGTGAGAGGGAAGGCTGGTTCAAGTTCTTGTCCAGTGGGTTGTGGGGGAAACTCCCTGCAAGGTTCCCAGTAGGAGGGCAAGAGGTCAACATGGGACAGGCCTGATGGGGGAAGTTCTATACAGTGCACATCCATTCAGCCATGCAGTCATCCATGGCACCAGGTCAGCTGGCTGGGGATTCCTTCAGTTTGCCAGTATCCAGAGCGTTACAAGCATTGATCTCTGCAAATCGAGCACGCCCAGTTTCCAGGAACAGTAGATTACCCTATTCACTCATCATCACTGTCCTCTCCCACTCCTTTCACCTCACCCAGACTCCCTTGAGTTGGAGAGCCACTGCTCCCAGGTAGCCAGAAATTCCCATCTGAGAGCAATTTAAAGTTAATGTTTCCATCTGGGAGTCAAGCGTGCAGCCAAACTCCCAGCCCCGCTGGCTCAAGATGTGAGGGGTTGTACTATGGCATCACACATGCTACTGCAATTTTGGCCCCAGGCAACGAGGTTCTCAAAACACTGCACTTTAGGGGAATGACGTGGCAGTATATATGAACACTACTATGCTATCCTCTGTTCCATACCTTTCCCTGCCTGATAGTTATTGATACTGCACTCATCTTGCTTCCATCACAGACACTACTGTCCTGTAGTTATATGTCCCCTCCAAGCCAGGCATTCACAAAGCCTTAGCAGCACTATTCCTTGCACCACAGCTGCTTGTTACATAAAATTGCTCTGAGTGAGGTCACAGCATTTCTACTCATGCCTACTCCCTGCATATTATTTTATGCTTCAGAATCTTAATGCCTTAACAAGATCAGCCACATAGCTTTGATGCAGCTGCACACACATTTGTAAAGGGAAGAAGACAGTCAGCACACTAAAGCTTTATATATCCTATGGGATGCACACATGGACACGTCAGCATGGAAGCCAAGAGAGAAGAAAAAGAATCAAGGCAAATCCTTGCAGGTCGGGGAGCATTTCTACTGCAATAGCTGAGTATTTATCTTTGAAACATTCACCTTTGACGGTGACTTGAGCACTGCAGGATGCCCGTCCTGTGCTGTTTTCTGCCAGACAGGTATAAACACCATCATCTTCTGGTAAGGCATCTTGTACAGTCAACTTTGCAACCCCATCTTCGAAGATGGAATGGGCATACTGAATTGGTTCATCTGCAGACATGAAGAAAGAGAACATTTCTTAACACATCACATTCAGCAGGCCATAAATTCCATAAACACTGCTCAGTTTTAATGCACATTATAATTGTAATGGCTGTAGACATGTTACAAACAAGAGCCAAATTCTGCTCTCTGATGCCCATGTGCTGCTCTCTCCTGATTACAACAGAAACATTCCACATGGATCCAAAGGCAGAATGTGGCCTTTCCTGCAGTATCATTATAGCTATGTGTGGCAATCCTTACCCAGACAACTCTCCCACTGACTTCCTGCTGTCCTTACTCAAGAAGATGCTGAAGGATTTGACCCTGTATCTTTGAATAGATTCACAGTCAGGTTGGTAAGTAACAGTCAACTATTGTTTGTCCAAACAACTGTGTATACTTTCTACCAGTCTGAAATTAGATGGTGGAATTGCCGTGTGAACGTAGATTGTAAACTCTTTGGGGCAGACCCCATCTGTTAGTTCTGTGTTTGTACAGAACCTAGCACAATGGGGTCCTGGTCCATGAATGGGACTCCTAGGTGCTACATCACAAATAATAAAAGAATAATGTACTGAGCACTTTAGTACTAGCAAGATGTCAATAAATGGAAGGCATTCCAAGATGGCAAAAATGATGAAGACTGGAGGGACTGACTTAGGAAGAAAAAGTAAGAGAACTACATCTAAGTATGAATGGTTTGGTTGCTGACAACTATAGCCTGATCTGTATTAGAAACCTTGACTGTTCCTGAATGTGATTTTCACCAAGCGGTTCCCCTAAGGAGGTCCTGAAAATGGTTTAAGTGCTAGTATGGATCAGATAATACTGCTTTAATATTGTTTCAGAAAGTTCCACCAAGTCTCAGTCAGACTTTCTGAAATGTTACTGAAATCTGTTTTCCCTGGTCTTAATTAGTTTCCAATATTGGTTCATCAATGATACAGTTTCCTAGTTTAAATAAGGTTTAAGACTGCCTGATAGCTGTGTATAAACACCAAGCTGAGGAAGGATTTAGGGTCATCCTTGGGGATATATCTAAGAGAAAATGAGGTGGAACTGAGCAAAAGGAATAGTAGGCTGAACTGGACAAACAATTCAATCAGCTGCGGGGGGGATCTCCAAGGGAAAAGACAGAAATATCATTGTCTGAGTCATTTAACGTTAGTTGGGACAAAGCACGGGAGTTTATAGACACCAACCATGAACTGGATGATCTGGTAGGTTTTTACCATCTCTGTTGGTGCTCTCAGTCTTAGAAAGACGACAATTTGCTTTCATACTCCATTTGCGCCTGAAGCTTGAAGTCTTGCTGTGTAATACTTACAGTGTTTTACAATATCAAGGTGGATGATCTCAATCTACTATTTGTCCACTAAATCACCACCTTGTAAAATGAGTAACTTTCTATCCCTTTAAAAGTTTGGGGTGAGCATTTAAACCACGTTTTTGGGAGTCAGCAATACATTTTCAGGACTAAACCTCCTAAACCACTTCATAAAACATTCACTTCCCAAATTATGCATGTTTTTATTGCTATTTCCTTTATCTTCTCTTCTACGCTTTACATACTGCGGTGGCTCCAATCCCACAATTGCAATAATCCAGTTAATTCCAAATAATTATTTGCAGGACTGAGGCCCAAGATACCAAGCTGTTTGGGGGCAGGGAGCATCTTCCTAGGCTGTGTCTGTGCATCACCTACCAGAATGGGGATCCTGGTTAAGACTCTTGGCACTACAGTAATAAAAATAAGAACTCCAGTATCAGAGGGGTGCATGCTTAAATGCATTCAGTATGTAATCTGGTTTACTGAGAACAAGATGGCATCATTTCTTCAGGCATGAATAAGCAAGAGAGCCATGCAAATGTTCTCTGTGAAAAAACAGTGTCATTTCTTTTGCCATATTAACGAATCAAAATTTGTTGGCACTTCAATGTTCCTCTTTGGGTATTAAGAAAACTTTGACTTACTTTGTTTGCAGAACTACTTGCCATTTCATGAAACCACGGACACAGAACCAAAAAAAACAAAACAAAAAAACAAAACAAAACACCACATCTGCCCAGTGGAACAACCAACAGTCAGAGTCTACCTTATGCCCCTTTGTCTAGATTTACACCTAATAAAAACAATTTTCCCAGTAGGGAAATGTTCTCTTCTCCAAGGGCATAACATTCAAATCTCCATGACAGTTTGGCAGCAAGAACAATAACAAAAATTACTTTACTGATGGCAATTTATACCAGAAGAAAGGAAATTTTCCTCCTATTTATTAAAAGCTGTCCTAAAATAAAACACAAGTTGGAGGATTATTTTGCTAAAAGGTTAAGGTAATATTCATTCTTTTTTAAACCCATCAAAATGAGATTCAGCCTGGGAAAATGAGTGAACAATCTGAAAAGCATATTCAGCAAGAAGGAGATGTTTGGAACAATGAGATGTTAGCCATACCACTGCACGTTAGACAGAAGCTAGCAATGAAATATGGGAAGGAAAAGAGGCTAAAGCAGTGATACCCAGACCACAGTGATTCAGGAGCCAAATTAGCAATCAACATTACCCAAAAGAGCCACAGTAGTGTGAATTCAATGTTTCATTTACTATTGATATATAGTAAATTCATTTATAAATAGTGTATGAAACAATGAATTCAAAATACGGTGGCTTTTTTGGGTAACGATCGCTAACCACTGAGGTCTGAGTATCACTGTTTTATACATGTTTTATTCTCACAGCAAAATGACTCACCAAATATAATTATTTTTTCAACTACAATTGGATAATAACACAGTAAAAGCATTTGATTGGTTAATAACTTAGATTGATTAATAACTGAATCACAGTATTTTATAATATGTGCTGCAAAGAGCTGCAGGAGACCCATTAAAGAGCCACTTGCAGCCCGTGAGCCTCAGTCTGAGTATCACGGGGCTAAAGCAATTCTGAGCTACATACACAAGTATGACAGAGAGCTGTTCCAGTGAGATCACTCCTAGAACACTGTGGTATAGTTCCATGTACCTCAATTCTGGGAAATTGATATTAAATTGATGGGAATTTGGAGAAGAGCAATTAAAATCATTAAAGGGCAGGATGGTACTGACTTATAAGAGATTAACAGACTCGCGTAAAGCACTTGGTTATGAGCTCTCCAAGTAACCATCTATAAGGAGATGGAGAACGTAAACAGCAAAGAGAAAGAGAAGTGGCTCAGGTGGCAAAAGGGAGCATTACTAGGAATAACAGGATAGGACAATTTTAGGGTGAAGAGCAGGAAAACTTTGTTAAGTTTAGGAAGAGGAAGAGTCTCCAAAGGGAATTAGCAGATACTTCAGATCATTCAGAACTAGATTGGATAAAATACCAGAAAATGTACTGTAGACAACAATGCTTCATGGGAGCAGTATGAGATGAAAAAGGATACTGTGAAGATATTCAGCTGCACCTATTTGTGCAAAATGAATATGGGCCTTCTCCATACAGGCACTGAGAGGTAGTTACAGATGGGATAGGTTATAGCATTTATTCATCTACCCGGCTAGCTGATCTTTAGTGGAAGTCTACTTGAGCTGTGGCTTGGAGAAAATATTAAGCTTCACATAATTTCAGCTGACAAAAAGGCATGGCGTGCTGGATGGTCACTGAAATATATGCATGTGGCACGGTAGCATAAACCACTTAGGACATGTCTACACTGCAATTAGACACCCACAGCTGGCCCATGCCCGCTGACTCAGGCTTGAGCCAAGGGGCTGTTTAATTGTGGCATAGACGCTCAGGCTGCTCCTCAAGCTCAGGTCACTCCCCCTTTGCAGGGTCCCAGAGCTTGGGCTCCAGTCCAAGCCTGACCAGCTACACCCGGGGTTCTCAGCCTTTTCCTCCATGGTCTGCCTGTGCCACAACAACTAGTTTTCTGCACATAAAAGCCAGGACCGGAATTAGGGGATAGCAAGCAGGGCAATTGCCTGGGGCCCCATACAATAGGACTTCAGCTTTCTGCCCTGGATCCCACCAAGATTAACACTGGCACTGCTTGGCAGACCCCCTGAAACCCGCTCACGGCCCCTCAGGAGTCCCCAGACCCCTGGTTGAGAACCACTTGTCTACACTGCAATTAAACAGTGCTTTAGCCCGAGCCCAAGTCAGCTGGCACAGGGCAGCCACAGGTTTTTAATTGCAGTGTAGACATACCTTTAGAGTAATTTAGCTCTAAGGTGCTGCTGTTGTCAGCAACTCCCCAGTGACCATGTGAAGTCTGTAACGTGATTGACTGGATACAGAAAACAAAGTTTGTACTGTTCACTGCTGCTCTATTTAGGTTTGATGAGCATGAGAGGGAGATATTGCTGCATATGGAACTCTCTCTTTCTCTATGCTTATATTTTTCCTTCGTACAACCATGTGCTCAAGGTTTCTAATGGTTTCTCTCTACACAGAGAGGTTGTTAGTTTCTCTTTCCACTATTTACCACACTTACTAAAGACCAGTCATTATGGCTGTTCCTTTTTGATTATTTGATTCTGGTGTTCCTCTACTTTCTTATTCTGATCAGACTGGGAAGATATCATTGCTAGCTGAAATCCTTCCTATCCTTTTCTCAAATTTTCATTTTCCATAGGTGTTTACAGACTAGAAGATCCTATCCCATACATTATTTCTTATCAGGGAGACCTAAAAAAAGTGTGAAACCCATACAGTATGCTTTACCTTGAGTGTACTGTATGGTCTCTCATCATTTACAACAGAGGCGGATTAAGGTTTCCCGGGGCCTTGGGCCAGAGCAAATGAGGGGCCCCTCCTCACCCCTTCTGCCTGCGGTCCCACCCCCATTCTATGCTCTGCAAGCAGAAAGAAACTTTGCATTCCAAATACCCAAAACAGTGCATTCCAATGCATCCTTTTCAGAACAAATGGCCTGTCTGCCTAATTCCCTAGTATATTGTACATATACCATTTTGCCATAGCATTATTATGGTCTACCTGGAGAAATATTTCAGGACCA